GTTCTATATGCATAAATAAATAAATCTTTAAAATAAATAAACATCAACCCAAACTAGAAAACCTGGCTCCATCAGCAGGAGCCTCCCAGCTCTGGGAAGCCACCAGTCTGCTTTCTGCCAATGGCTGTTTTGGACATTTCCCATATGTGGAATCATGTACGATGTGGTCTTTTGTGATTATGACAATAGTAACAGAACACTGAAGAAACCTTTGAATTAAACACTCTCAATAGCAAACTTTATGATATGTAAATTATCTCATGTAAGGTACTTTGAAAGTCAGTTTTTACAGAGACATTACTGACAATTTAGACAAAACGTAGACAGCTTTCTTTCTCTCTGTCCTTCATTCCACTTCAATTCTAACTGTACTTCACAGTCCCAGTCCCGGGCGGGGGTGGGGGGGGGACGGGGACGGGACTGCACTGAGAGGACATATCACTGTGGATTGAGCAAAGTCAAAGTCAAAACCATTATTTTGGCTTAAAGAGTACTTTATGATTGGGGCATTTCAGCAGGAGAAATTTAAATGAACACCCTCATCTCTCTTGTGTGCTGCTGGACACTTTAATAACCAGCCTGACCTCATTATTTCACCAGCTTTTTCCATAAATTGGAGTAATAAAACATGATTTGGGGAATTTAGAGATAATTAACCTAGTTGTTTTGTCTGCTAGTCTCCAAATTCAGAGGAATCAGATAATGCTAATATGTAATAAAATAGTCCTACTGCAATATAAGTAGTGAAGAAATACCAACAGCTAATGTATATTGAGTGCATGAGGTACACGGGTACTTATATGACATCTCCAACTCCATTTCCACCTAAGGTCATAGTACAGAGTAGCTGTAAAGCCTGCCATTTGCACAACTGCACTCGAAAGCATCCTGAAGGAGACAATACCCTACTAGACTATAAGCTTCACAATATTATCAGAGCACCGCCAGCAACAATGGTGAAAGATGAAGTAGGAGAGATCCCCAGTCACTCATCTTCCTTGTTGGGGGTAGTCTAAATATACTCTGAAAAATATTGTAATAAAAGACTACATTATATGGGAAGATTTTCAATCATATCTATCTTTGCCTTTGAAAATAACTTAAGATCACAGTGATTTTAAGATTATATTTCCTTCAGAATAATAAAGGTGAGTCTTAGGAGGAAAAAAAAGAAGAAAAATTCCATTATTTTTCAAAAGACAGTATTTATTTAGAACAGATAACTCATTTAAAAAGGGCATGCTGTCCTTTTGTACACAAATTTACTCATCTAATCATCTAATCAGCTTAGTGTCCCCCAAAAAAGATGTAAATACTATTTAAATTACTAGTCAAGTTGGCTTATGGAAATTACTACTTAGCATGATTGCCTCTGGATAAAGAACAAACAGGAGAAAAGAATCTATTGAATAAGGTCATTTCACCCTTTTGAAGTGAAATGATCAAAACTATGTATAGAAAAGCAAAGATTCTATAAATATTCCAAGTATCATTAAAAATATAATTATTCCCTAGTTCTTTCAGTAATGGACAATTATAGGTTCTACACAAAATGCTATAAAAATGTTAATATTTTTAATGTTACTTACCCTTTTCAAATGTTCTTGTATTTTAGACTCTACATCTTCAATGTGTGAAATCATTTTGTTGACACATGGTGCTGGGAAGTTCACTAATGAACAGCTGTGGCGACGACATGGGTAGCTAAAGTAAATGTCTTTATTCACCACTGAAACAAAAACACAAAGGGGAGTGGTTAAGACTTGATTTCAGAATATGTAAAAGGCAGTCTTCATTAATACTAATACTCAAACTTTCTTTAATAAACAGATTGATAAATCAAAAAATTGTAACATGAAGGTAAAAAAATAAACTGATGACTCAATATAACAAATGAAAATGAAGTGAAGAAGCATGAAAAAAACTTGGAGCACAGTTAAAATGTACTATATCAGTGTGAACAAAACAGTGAAAAAATTTTAAAAAGGTACAGAACCATTTAATCCACTTGTTCTAAATAGAACCTGAATCACTCAGAAAATGGTTTTGAAATATATTTTAAATTCTCCCTTCAAAGATAATCCATACCTCCCAATGCAAATAATGTACAAGCACTCACACATTGAACAAGTTCTTCCATATGTCCAGCCTGAGTTTCTCTTGCTGAAAAAATTAAAATCAGGTCCCCTTCATCCTCATAATAACCTCATTTTCTATCTTCCATTTCTGAAAATTGGAGTCTCATGTGAGAAGTGACTGATGTTCTCACTATAGCATCCAAGTTGTACTCATCATAAAATCTACTCAGTACGATGTGCCTCGGTGATTCTAATCCTGGCATATCCCAAATAGACTGAAGGTTACAGAAGCCAGCAAAGTTCTCCATGAAATTCCACCAGAGTGCTCACTTGCAGAGCTTTTGCCTCTAAGAACTCTAGTGGGCTGGATTATAGCTTCAGTCAATGATCTTAAATGCAAGACACAACACAGGCACAGTCCCTCAATGAGAACAATGCGATGAACTCATTTCAGTTGACCTTGAAGAACACAGAAGTAATGTTGTTGCCTCCAGAGGATGCCTTTTGTTTCAGTGCCAACCCAGAGATAGCAAATACTTTAGAGAGCTTCCTTTAAAGTGCAATCCTTTAAAAATCATTTAAATTAAATCTCATCTTTTCCTACTCCAAAAATACAATCTCTGAAATTGGCATATATGATTTATAAATAAAGGTGTGTTTACTTTACCCCATATCTAAAAATATATAATAGATGTATAGATGTGAATATATTACTTTATATGTGTGTATATACAGACATGTTTATTTTATATATATATATATATATATATATTCTTTTTTGTTCTGATTAGCATTTTTATGAAATATGCCAAGCATGGGATTATTCTAAGTACCTTTGATGCCACATTTTATTTAAACCTCACAAACTAGTGAAATTAGGTTATTATACTGGTTATATAATTAAGGAAACCAAGGCATGGAGATTTACATAACATCTAAGTCCACAGAGCTGGCAGGATAAGACCTAGGACTAGAACTGTATCTCCCCAGGTAAGAAGAATAGATCCTATATAGTGAACATAGTTTTGATCTTTTTTAAATGTGGCAAAATAGACAAATAGTTTTAAAAATGTAATTCAGAGACTATCCAATGTTTCACATGCCCATCTTGTTCTTAAATTTCAAATATTCTTTCATGTTATCAGTACTAACACGTTCATATTTTAGTAGCTTTTGACCATATTCTGAATGTATGTGAAGTCTGTCACTCTTTTATGAATATTATATTCCATCTTGCCTCTTTATATACAGATATGTATTTTCATTACAGCAACAAAGGAATGAAGAACAAGTTGGTTGAGATGACATACTGATTTCCTAGCCAAATATCTTGATAAGTACATGTTGCTCTTCCCTCCAAATATAAGGTTTTAATACACATTTAACAAACAGTAGCCCTTATACTCAAAACATTTGTTTTGCTTCATTTATTGTGGGGAAAAGAAGGTCAATAATGACTCATTTAACAATTTTCTGCGATGTGCCACTCTATACTTATTATGTGAATATAATTTCATAGCATTCCATAGTTTAGAATTAACATTTTACATATTGTAAGATAATAAAATACAATGAAGTCCAAATTTTTACTTAAAGTATATAAAGGACCTGGTATCATACTTAGTTCAAGGTAGAACCAGAATTGCATAGTATAGTTTTCTTCAGCTGTATGCATGGTATTTGCCCATTGTAAAGAGACACACAGGTTACGGAACTAGGTGTCGATGTACACTGAATTTTTGACTTGACTGAAAACTATTTGTCCTTCATAAGCTAAAACTGCTCTGTCTCTAACCTCAGGTTTCTCATGTAACAGATGAAATGTTTAATTAGGGACTTATGTAGGGTCTTTTAAACTAAAACCTCAAGATACAATGAACTAATGACTTTAGTCATATAGAGGCTGATAAATGCCCCTCCATGAAACCTGCGCACAAATAATCAGCCTATTTACAGAACTAACTCAGAAAGGACTCTCATCCTCTCCAAATATCTAGCCAAATATATCAGTACTGACCAGTAAAGAGTAGATATACATTTCAAAGATAATGTTTTGTAGATTGTCACTGAATAATTTTTTAATTATAAATTTCATACCCCAAAATATTAGTCCTACTTTTCTTAGCAAACATGTCCTCAATGAACTGGGGAAGTTCTAGTACCTGATAGAGATTATTATTTAAAAACAACTCAAACATTTCTGAAATTGTAAACAATTCTTACAAACCAAATAACAACTAACACTATGTTGTAAATAAACATATAATTATGGTGCTAGATATTAATGATTTCTAGGTTTTATTATTTAATAAATATGACATTGCAAACTAAAAAATGAATAAATATGTATATCTGATACATAGCTAGATTACAAAAGTTACTGTAAAATTTATATTCAGTCCTCACCTTCAGTATTTGTCATTTTGTCTTCATGAAAAATCTCAACAGCTTCCATTGGGGCACCAAAGAGAACCAAAGCTTGTGATGCAGCACTATCTTTTAAAAAGAAAACAATCGTTTCAGTGAGCAGTTAATATTAAGCTTTTAAAACAAGAGAAATAATGTGCAAAGTTATGTTGTCAATGGCTTGCCCTTGAAAAAGCAACTATAATACAAATATTAACCAAACCCACAATAGAATACTTTTATATGTTTTCACTGTGTTCTTCAGTTGACTTAATTTTAACAAAAGGATAATGATATTCAAAATAGCATGCATTTTGTAAAATGTAAAACAGAGAAACCACCCAGCACAATGTTCAATGTTCCCAAAATAGCAAGGTAGAATAATTTAGCTTTAGCTTTCAAATAAATATTAACAATTATACACAAACAAAATAGTTCTGAAAAGGCTCAAGAGTAGTCCACTTTGGAAACTTCAGCAACAGAATAAAACAGAAAAACTGGGAATGACTAAATAAAAAAGAAGGACAGATTCAGTTTGCTTGCTCACCCCTCCTCCCAGGCTAACTGCACTCAATGTCTGCAGGAAATTTACAACTCAAAAAAACGCTCCCTTTAGAAAAGTAGGAATGGGGCAGGGCAAATCATTAACTCTGCACCTGTTGGAGCATTGCACAAAGGACTTGCTTCCGTTCCAACCTATGTACAGACTGCTCTGGTGGACATGTCTAGAGATGACTGGGAACATTAAAGAAGGACAAAGGAATGGATGAGAAAACAAGACTGAACTATATGTGACTATGGAAGATTCACCAGTTTTGAAGATATACATGGATTCAAAGTGAAGGAATGGAAAGTAATATTTTATAAAATGAAAACCAAAAAGTGATAATAAATAACTATATTGTATCTGATACAATACAGTACAACAGTACCATTTGCAATAGCATATAAAGAATAAAATACTTAGTAATATATTTAACCATGGAGGTGAAAGATCTATATACCTAAAAGGAAAAAGACACAGGACAAAGGAAATTAAGAAATAGAATTAATGGAAAGATATGCCAAAGACATAACAAAGCACATATTATTAAAATATCCATTAAATTCAATTGTTATCAAAATTCCAAAGCATTGCTCACAGAAATAGAAAAAATTATTCCAAAAATTTGTATGGAATCCAAAACATTTCAAAGAGTAAGCAATCTTGAGGAAGAAAATGAACTCCAGCATCATCACATTTCTGAATTTCAAAATGCAATAGAAATCATCTAAAATAAAGACCAAAATAGTATGATATATATAGCATTAAAAACAACATACAGGGGCCCTCCCTGGTGGTGCAGTGGGTTAAAGCACAGAACTGAGAAGCTAAAGCCACTTAAAATCTGCCAAGACATACTTATAAATACAGTTCTGATTTATTCTTGAAGATTGAACATAAATATCTCAGAACTCTGCATGATGGACTGAATGTGCCTATACTGATTGATAATTTTACATAGGAGGTGGTAAGCCTCATAATGGTAGGATAGCAAAGAGGTAGAATTTTAAATGATAATCATTATGACAACATTCTAAATATTAATACCTACAAAGTACATTTCTAAAACAATTTATTAACCATAATATTTTCCAGAGAGCTAGTCTACCATACATATATCTACTTGACATGAAGTTACAGAGCTAATCTATATAATATAAGTCTTATATTCTACTAAGTGATAGGTGGTTTTATCTGGTTGTGGCTATAATCTCCATTGATAGACTGAAGGCAGGTGGCCTGCCATGTTTAATATGATTAATTTCTCTTATGAAACAGACATTAGATTATTTTGTTTGCAACCCTGTGCAGAATGGTCACTTTTTGTTCCAGTGGGAGAAAAAAAAAAAAACAAAAAAACTTTGTCAAATAATTCAAAGGGAAATTCATCAGCTGAGTTCCCCAGTGCCTAAAACAAACTAATAGGTTTAATTAACATTATAGCAAATCCAAAAACTTTTAATGGTCTTACAAAAATTTACACAGAGTATCATTTGTCCTATCCCTTTCCAAATTGGGTCTTTGGGGAAATTATTTTACATAAATAATCTGGTCCATTTTGTTAATATGAGATTGAAATCAGTTTTCAGAAATTAAATAATTTTTGCTTAAATCTCACAATGCAAACTATGAAATACATTTTTTACCCCCAATTAACATCGATAGCATAAATAAAGACTAAGCACCAAAGTAATTCTTTGGTATATTCCAAAAGTATTCTGAAATATTCCAAAATAGTATTCTGAAAGTTAATGTGGCAATGAGTACTAAAATCCTACCTAAAATTAATAATCCTATATAGTTGATTGTGCAAGATTCCTGTCAACCATATTTAGAATTACTAAATGACTTACTTTTTGACTCCAAGTAAAACTGTAGAGATTCAAAACCCCAGTAAAATACAATGATTTTGATGATAATGATAATGGCCTAGAAAATTTCTCTTCCCAGTATTTACCTTACTTTGCAAAGTGACTTTGCAGCATCTGCAAGAAAGTGGAATCTAATCCCTTGTTCCTTGACTCTAGATGAATCCCTGCCTTGCTTTGGTGGATAAAATGTAGTAGAAATGATAGCTGTATATGTTCTGAGCACTGGTCTCACATTGCCTTTCAAGCAAAGCATTCAAGGCTGCTGGAGATGATATGCTGCAGTTTTTCCAGGTAAACTTCTAGGTCTGGGATAGAACCCAGTCCACGGGAACAACATCAGTAAAGAGGTGCACAGTTGACCTGTGATATACTGTGATATATACATGAGTGAAACCTCCTGAGCCATCTGAGGTCAGAAGAAGCAACACATAGATTCATGCATGAAATGAGTTCCAAAGAATACTTAAGGTGCTATATGTACCTGCATTTCTGTGCATACTTGTTACACAGCTTATGACAGCAACAGATAACAGATACAAAGGCATTATTCTTCTAAAGAACTCGAGGCAAAATTTTGTGGCAAGGATTGCCAAATTTTTTCGATAAAGAACCAGAGAGTGAAAATTTTAGGTTTGGTGCACTGTACACAGCATCTGTTGCATATTCCTCATTGTTTTGTATTTCTTTTTTTATAGAATCCTTTATAAATGTTAAAATCATGCTTGGTTTGCTGCCGTACAAAAAAATGTGGTGTCCAGATCTGGACCATGACTGTAAATTGCTGACTTCCATTTCATATCTTGTAAAGACATCTTACAGAATTAAAGATGTAAGATGAAAAGTACAATAAAATCTAATAATGCTTTTTAACTAGAAAACTACAGGTACTTTTTAATTTTAAATTGGCATGTTTTTTGGCCCTCCCTGGTGGTGCAGCGGGTTAAAGCACAGCACTGAGAATCTAAAGCCACTTCTGCATGAGTTTGATTCCCACCTGCCCCGGAGGTGACCACATGGCGTGGCAGACCTCTCCTGACCCGCCCGCTGCTCCCCTCGGCAGTGTATTTCGTCGATCTCCCTGTTCTGCTCCCCACTCTGTCTCTGGTGAAGCCTCTCACCATCCCTGAGCCTCTGGCCTGTACTCCAGTTCTGTATGCACAAATAAATAAAACTTAAAAAAAAAAATTGGCATGTTTATCTTCAATGATGTGCTGGTAAAATCTTAAGAACCAACTCTCTAGTGATAGTAAATACAAACACCATAGTCAATCTCAAGCAACCAGTGCAGTTGAGAAAAGATGTGATAGAACTGACACACATGAGCTAGCAAAAACAGACTCCAGTACACCAAGGATTAACCATGTACCTAATATACTGTCTGTACCATAGCACAAAAGTAATTGTTAAAGAAATTGACTAAAATTCAGACCACAAAATTTCCTTAGGCAGATTTACTCCTTTATTTACCTCAACTATCTGGACCTAATACCTTTGGTTTTTATAACCCCTGATACAAGAAAACACTGCTATCTTTACAACTGCTTTCTCTTATAAGTGCACTGAGTTGTATTTATCTATAAACTTTTCCAAAGAAAAGGACTTAAAGATAAACTTACCTTTTTTGGTTTTAGGATGATCATCTCCATTGGGACAAGAGGGCATTGTTTTGTTTTCAAGCATGGTTATTAATAACAGTTTGAAACCTAAGAAGTAAAAAATATTAAATGTCAAGAATCAAGATTAGCATACATTTAAATTTAAATGATCAATTTAACAACTGAAAGTGTCAAGATAAGTTTTCAGTAGTATAAAATATACTACAGGTATGTAAATCAACACTAACACATGTATAAAATGTAAGGGAATTCAACAATGTACTTTTTGTCCTATAAAGACCATGATTCTTCTTGGGAACACCATTATGTAAAAATCCTTATTAAAGAAACATCTTCATCTCCTGCTTTGTTGTTAACTTAAATCCCTGACCTGACTATTAGCTAATTAAGCATTCATTCATTCATCATTCCATCTGTGGGCAGACAACCAAAGGGTAATTCTGGGACCTACAATGTTTTATTTCATATAATAGGACAGTGAATCCCTTTCAATTGTTTTCAAGTATTTTCCTTTGTAACTCAATCTGCTATAAAGATTGTGATATATTTTTCTTTGTATTTACTAAACTATCACTACAGCATATAAATGGGGAAACTTATGTGAATTAATACTCCCCAATTCTGGATTTTGGATATTGATATACAATACAAAAAACTCCCACTTTATTCCAGATATTTTATTTGAAAAAATATTTTAATGTAAATAAGCAAATAAATCACTTTGAGTTACTAATCACACAAACAATATCAAAATAGACAGTTTAGAAAATGCATCAGCAATACCCACAAAAATTAAAGTGTTATTGTCAATGATTACTCTTTATTATTTCAAAAGACAGTTAATTATTTGCAGTTATAGATTTTAATTTTGTTAAGATGCTATTTCTTTTTATTAAAGTTACTTTAAAGGCTTCGATAAGATTATGAGATTAGTGTACTATTCTCCTGTTCATTCATATACCCATGAAATTATTAAGCAATTTAGTTCTGTCTTAAGTAACCTTAGCAGTAATGATCCTTTCATATATACTTGCTTATAAATAATGGCCTTCCAGAAATTATGAAAGTCATAATTATTAATTTCCTCTTATTGGCTTTAGCTGTAGTTCAATTGATTTATTCTAATCTAAATATGCCTAAGAATAGTTAGAAGTGTATTTTTTTCCAAAAAGATGTACTGTCATTCATTTCCATATTACTTTACTTTCATTTAGGTTTTGATGTACTAGAATGTCGCCTTTTACTTCTCACCACAAATTTATTAACTACTTCTCCTTCTATTATCTTTTCACTATGACATCGCACTTATCATATAGTCTAATAAATAACTATGTGCATGTATATTATCCCACTGAATTATGAGATCTGAGAAATCAAAGATTTTACTTTATTATAAAACGTTAACAGGATGAAAACTCAGAAAATTCTTTGATAGTAATAAGAGGATGATTCTGAACAGTGAGGAATTTCTGAATGAAATGTGATCTTGAAAATCACACATGAAGTAATTGGTATTTGCATATATTTATAAAAAGCTGAAAGACATATTTTCATAGAGGAAAGTAGTTTGGCTTTGTCTGAAACACAGGAAGCATTCATACTTATAACAAACTAGAGGTCAGAATATTAATTAGGATTCTGGGAAAACATTACATTTCAGTTTTCGATATGTAATCATTCTGGTCCATTCTT